AGTTTTGTTGCAAGTAGCACAAGAAACAAGGCATTTTCCATCCGAAGTAAGAAGTTCTGGTACCTTTCTCATTATCTTCCTGCCATAAAACATCACTTTGTCTCTTTTTCTGAAACGATATTTAGGACCTTCAGCTTGCTCTTCTCCTGGAAAATCAAAGGAAAAATGGTTGATGAAAAACACAAAATCTGAGGCATTTTTATTTCACAAGTTTATCACGAAGCATCTACATGCTATCCTATCTATATTATGTTGATTTAAGGAGCACTTGTGAAAATCATTAACAATCTCACACTCACCAAACTTGTATCTTCTGTGCAGAAAAAAGGCAACAATACTGATAAATGAAATAGCAACAGCGGCTCCAATCAGCACACCAGTCCACTGTATTATGAAATGACAATAAAGACAGTAATAAACTTTGTTTGCAAGACAAACAATACAGACTACCGAGTCACTAAAACATAGGCGTTACTGTCATATACCATGGTACTCTGTAACTGATCCTCTATGAAGTGCTGCACTCGAGCCTTGATCTCAGTCCCAGATGGCAGCACTGCCTAGAATACACAAAATCATCATTATAAACCACACCTTACTGCAGATTACTTTAGTAGAAAAGATGATTCATAGTAAAAAGTAGCATGGCTTTATTTATGTATTTATTCATTTATTCGTGATACACACGTTCAGAAAATTAAAAAGCATTTTTTTTTTAAAAATACGTCTTACCGGAAATATACTGCATGTGTCATCTTGTTCTTTTTCCGAGTCACTAAAACATAGGCGTTACTGTCATATACCATGGTACTCTGTAACTGATCCTCTATGAAGTGCTGCACTCGTTGATTGATCTCAGTCCCAGATGGCAGCACTGCCTAGAATACACAAAATCATCATTATAAACCACACCTTACTGCAGATTACTTTAGTAGAAAAGATGATTCATAGTAAAAAGTAGCATGGCTTTATTTATGTATTTATTCATTTATTCGTGATACACACGTTCAGAAAATTAAAAAGCATTTTTTTAAAAAAAAACGTCTTACCGGAAATATACTGCATGTGTCATCTTGTTCTTTTTCTTCCATATCTTACAGTGAGGAGAAAGCAGAAATCAACACATTTGACACAAATTACAAAGCTAATTACCTTATTATACCTATTAAAGCGGCGTGAAACCATTTCTATGTAAATTGTTTAACCCTCAGAGACCAACTGTTGATTATAACATTAAAATAGTTACATAATACCTATTTCTACTAAATATAAGTTAAAACTTCGTATAACAACAACAGCTCACTTTCCAAAATGTGTCATAGCAACAAATCTGACAGGAATGTATTTGCAATATGAATCTCCCAGCACATGGTCATGGCCTTTTGACACCATTACCATTCAATTTATCAAGTACTGTCTTTCACTACTGTGTTTCTTAATATTTCTTCAGTTTACAAAATCTTTAAAAATAGCAACACTGTTTAAAAACAACAACAACCATACAACAAATGAAAGTGGCCGTGCGAGGGATTCTGCCTGAGTCATGTGACACTGCCTGTAGTCCCTCACTGCAATCTGACAACCTGTTGATGTGATTCATTATGAGACCCCCTCTGTCAGGGGAAAAAGTCAAACTCTTACCACAGGGTGAAGGTGACGCTAAAACTTCTATTTTAAGTGTCTTGCACAGAATGGCAAACCATTGGCAATGAGAATTTGATTGGTTTAGGACGGGCTGCAGGAGGAATGTGGCTCTGGGTCAGAGGTAAACACGGTTCTGTTGTTTACGCACAAGCCGCGGCTATAAACATGCACTTGTAATCAAATACACTGTCGATCACTGCAACTAACAAGATTGTAAAAACATTATGAGGTTGTATAACGCGAAGATCCTACATGCAAATAATGTCGATAGATAAACGGAAAATACCTTCTGAACGGCGTTTCCAAACTGTTTTGGTCACTTTCAATGCACTTCGGAGTCTCCCAGGGATCCCATTCACAATGTCAGTACCCCCCACCGATTACATGTGTTGCCAGATCCTTCAAAAAACAAAAACAAAACTGTCCACACAGTCTGATTAAACAGGCCCAAAATAAGTTTAAATGTTAATTTAAATATAGATAAAGTAGAATTAAAATAGAATAAGAAAGTGCTAGAGTTAGAGGGTCAAATAAAGGTTTTGGATTAAGGAAGGAAGGAGAATTGCTTAATTTCTTTGATCAGATGTACTCATCATAAACCATGTTTACTTTTTATTTATTAAAAAATCAACCCTCTAACACTAGCGTTCTCTATTTTTTTCTATTCTATCTACTTGTTTTCTTTTTATTTATTATTAAAAAAATACTTACTACATGTACTGCATTAGACTAACCGAGACTTGTCACATCACTTACATATTATTGCTCTTTTGTTGGTTTGATTGCTTCTATTGTCCTAATTTCAAGCATCTACTAAATGTAAATGTAAATGTAAACCTAATACATTATAAACCGCAACTTTCTGCAAAATTAATGTTTTTTCAATTATTATGCGCATATTTTAATGGTAATAATTGTAATAATTAATATATATATATTTATGTAATAATTCATATATAATAAGAAATAATTGTAATTAATAAACGTATTTACAACTAAATATTAACATATAAACTAGCAAGTGTAAATATAGCAAGTGTGATTTCACAGTTGTGATCAGCCATTAGCAAGTTCAAAGCTCGCATGCATTCTGATTAAAAAAACAAACAAACAATGCGACTCGCTATATAGAATTTACAAGTTTATCAAAACAAGCCCAAATAATTCTGTAATAATGATGTAGAAACGGTTGACCACTTATTTCTTCATTGTAATCTGGTTAATTCGTTTTGGACTGAAGTATGTAATTGGATTAAACAAAGAATATCTATTTTTCCATCTATTACTTGGGACATGGTGAAATTCGGAGTACATTTGGAGGACGAAAGTGAAGACTTTGTTGTAAATTGTTCACTTCTCATATTAAAATACTTTATTCACAAATGTAAAGTTTTGAAAACAGCTCCCCAGTTTTAATGTCTTTAAAAAGGAGCTTGCCATGTATACAGAGGTCCTAAAAATTATGAGAAGTGATAAGGCCAAGAAATTATTTCATTTTTTTAATAAGTGTGATTTTGTTTAATCCCCTACATTGTTTATGGTTGCATGAATGTATTTTATTTTATTTTATGCTATCTGGATTAATGTCTTGTATGGCGGTTTGTTTCTCTGTTATAGTATGAATAATTGTGAATGCCTCAGTCTGTGAGGACTTACAGTTGTGTTTATGTTAGCCTATTTTGTTCTGTTAAGATGTTAAAAAAAAATATTTAAAAAAAACAAGCCCAAAGAAACTTATAACAAGCGGATATGGCAACACCGCCATTCAGTATTCGCTGCTCCTATTGGCTATTTCCAGGCTGATCTGACCAATCACAGTTAATTTCTTTATCACGCTGAACGTGGGGATACAGTGATCTTCTTGAAAGCACAGTTGTACACTGTTCAAGGTTAGTGTGTGTGCTTTTTATTGATTTCTAGATGATATTTCATTAACTTATACTTTATATGTGGCCTGTTACGTTTTCGTTATTTTATCGCGATGTGTTAAAAGTGATTGAAGTGAACGGTTATGACAACACAACTGTAATAGCTTTCATTTCGAAGCAGTTTCTAAAAACATTTAACTAGAATGCAGTAAGACAACCTTTACAAAGATGTCAATATGTTAATTTTGTTGTCATTCTTGCTTGATATACAAAATACATAATTTATTAACGATGACTGTTAATATTTACAGTGTTCATGCTGACTACCAACCCACTACTGCACATGGAGCATCAGTTCAGTTGCTTCCTTCGTAACATACTATTTATATACAATTTTTGTTACTATTTTACTACTGTAAAATCGTAGTCAATTTACATGGTATCTCACTCAAACAATGTGAAGAATGAATGCGAAAATTCTGTATATGTATACATATATAACACTATAATATAGTGTAACATTGTTAAAAATATAATTAGTTTCCAGAAGTAACGTTATGAAATTGTTTAAAACATAATTAAATTGAACTGATTTGTGAACAGGTTGTTGCTGCAGTTAAATCACTGTAACATGGGGGTGCTGTCAGCACTGACGCGGGGGCTCGTGAGAGGAGCTGACAGAATGGCCGAGTTCACAAGCAAGCGCGGGCCCAGGACATTCTACAAGAGCAGAGGTGCGAGACCCACTGGAGTCCTCACCTCCAGCAGAAAGTTCATACCTGTACAGGCCATGATACCAGAATTTGTGGTGCCCAATCTGGAAGGATTTAACCTGAAACCATATGTGTCATACAAGACCCCTGCAGGGACCGAGCCACCCATGACTCCAGAGATGTTCTTCAATCAGGTGGTGGCCCCACAGATCGAGAGAGACATTGAGGAAGGGGTTTTCAATGAGGAGAATCTTGAGAAATATGGATTAGAGAAAACACAAGGGGGGAAGCTGTTCAAGCTACATCCCAGGAACTTTGTTCGTTAAGTGGACTTTGTGTTTCAGTGGTTTGCTGATGGACTGTAAACAAGTGTATGATGTTTTCTTAAACTTGAACAGAAGTCATGAAAAATTTGTCTCTTCATCGGGAAATTATTAAAAACTACTGAATGAAAAGTTTCAAGCCCCTAGCAAAACTGATATATTGCCAGTGAATAATTTCGTAACGCAGGGGTTTTCAAACTGGGGTTGGGGGTCAATGGAAATGTTCACAGAAACATTTAAAAATAAGATTGAAAAATCATAGAAAAATAGATCAAAATGAATAAACAAAAAGAGTAAATAAAACAGTACTACGATGATTAGGAAAAGAAAACATAACTGTGTACCTAAATAGAAACTAAATATCTTCTTCCAAGTAATATTTTAGACATATATTCATTTTTCATTATGCAAGTATAAACTGTATAGATGCCTTTTAAATTTTAGGATTGGGGTCCCTTGCACAAGAATAATCATATTTTGGGGTATTTAAAAAATGTAAAACCCCTACCTTAGAGAAACAATTTTACAAAAGAAATAAATGTAGACACTTGCATTTATTAATAGGGTTATGGTTTATTTGTTACAAAAGCTCTTTGTCTGGTTCTCAGTGTAAAACTAAAAAACATCCTTTTCATTTTCTAGCTAAAATATATAGTCAGAAAATGACACTCAGTTTAAATAAAGATACAGTATCTCAAAATTGCATATACTGAATACTAAGCAACACTTTATATGTTACAGCAACACGATGCAGCGAAATATGCAGGTCCAAATAACCTCAACTTAAAAGGTTTTTAAAGCCCATCGCATCAGCTGCGTTCAGGAAGAGGGGACGGGTTCAGATGGCTTCTGTTTGTCCTCTGGGCTCCAGTCCCATCTCCACACGTGCATCATGTGGTCGTAGAAGGAGCAGGTAGCCATCAGGCAAGACAGAGACTGGGAGACGGGGTCTGGAACTGAACTTTTTTCTGGTAAAGAACACTGGTCAGGTAGGTACTGCCCCGAGTCATCCTCCAGAGAGGTGTCAAAGCTGGCGGTGGGAGATTCATACTGGATCCTGAGATGACCTCCAGACTCTGTGAGCCCAACGCTGGTTTGGGGAGGTTCTTGAGGAGAGGGGGGTGTGGAGTTGCTTAGGGGGAGTCTGGACCAATCTGCTCCATATGCCAAGGAGTTGTGTAGAATATAGGAGGCCAGAACTGGGCATGGTGCATCTTGTCCCTCTACAAACGTGAACATTAGGGAGAAAAACAGCATGAAGAGTAGAATTCAAAATCAGGAACTGTTCAAAACCTAGGGATTGGTAAGATTTGTAATGTTTTTAAAAAGAAGTCTCTTATGCTCACCAAGGCTGCATGTATGTATAACTCTTTTCTATTTTAATATATTTTAAAATGTTATTTATTCATGTGATGGTTAAGCTGAATTTTCAGATACTGGAATTTTATTCCAGTCTTCAGTGTTACTTGATCCTTCAGAAATCATTCTAATATGCTGATCTGGTGCTCAAGGAACTTTTATTATTATTATTATTAATAATAATAATGACGAAAACTTGCTGGTTAATATTTTTTTTTCATGCAAACCATGATACATTTTAGTCAAATAAATAAATAACAGTATTTAATTGAAATAGAAATAAAAAATATTTCCTTTTGATAAATGTAATGCATTCTTGGTGAATAAAAGAACTAATTTATTTTTTTTTAAAAATACATTGACCCCATACTTTTGACCAGTAGAGTACATTTTGTAATGGACATATATTAAGAGTAATTCTTACCCATAGCTTTCTGGCAGTGGAGAATATGGAAATCATTATGCATACATGCAGCTAGAAGCAGGTGCTCTTGACTGGGGTGCCACTTGAGTCTCCACACACCTCCACCCACTGCAGTCTCACTCAAGGGCTGCTTCATGTTCCTCCCGTCCCAGAGCAACACGTTCTCATCATAGCTGCAAGAGGAATAAACACATAAACCGCTACACTGTTGACAGCAGTCAATGGAAATTTTTTGCCCATGATATTTCACAAATGTGTAAAAAGTCATGGAAATGCAATCATGGATTTTTTTTTTTGCTGGAGCAAATGGGAATGGAAAAAAATATATTTGTTACAGTCTCCCATGTACCCCAGTCGAGTTTTTTTTTAACTTACCTTCCTGTGGCTAGTATGTGCTCTCGATGGGGGTTACTGTGTATGCTGCATACTTCCATAGTGTGTCTGTGACAGGAGAGCAGTATTTACAATGACTGCATAAACAGCACGAACAGTCATATAGAACATAATTCAGTTAAACGGTGACTCAATAAATGCTATAAGTAATGTCGCTGGCTGAAAAACCATAGCTTGTGTCTGACCTCTTGCTGGTGAAGGTAGGGGAAGAGGGACCCATTCTCAGATCCCAGCCCTTTAGTTTATAGTCATCACCACCTGGGACAGCAGTTACACTAAAAGTTATGAAGTTCAGATAAATACTTTTACATAAAAACATAAATCAATGAAGTGTTATTTTAGTATTGTATAATATACTATTAATAATTTGAATTAGCTGTTATTTTGATATTTTTAATTTTAATTACAATTTAGTAATTTTTGAGCTTGTAATTTTTATTCTTTTTTAAGATTTCTATTTAAGCTTTATTTTTTCCTGTTTATTTTAGTTAGCTGACAAGTTTTTTCCAAATTTTTCATTTATTTTTTATATTTTATTTTATTTCAAAGAACAAAAATAGTGTTTAAATTACCAACCCTGAATCAATGAGCATACATGCAACAGCACCACATATGGCTCCTTTTGCTTGCTCTTGCTCTCATACCTGAATAAACAATCTGTGTATCCCAGTAACTAAATGCTGAGATCCAGGCTTCAAAGTCATGAGCTTTCCACTGACACACAGCAGTTAAACTGGCTTCCCCTAGAGACAGCGCTGTGAGAGAGCCGCTCGAGTCACTGGACACCACACGCACATCACTGCTACAAAAACATAACAGTAACCATTATATACAGAGACAATGCAATGCCAAATCATCAGTCCATCAATGACGAGTGCACCTTACCTCTCACCTCTCCCTCTGGACCAGTCTAAAGACAAGGCCAGTCTGTCAGGACCCAACCCTGTGCTCAACTCGTACTCCAGACCACATGTGCCCTGCTACTGGAGACACAGTCCAGTCACGCAGAAAACACTCAATGAAGTACAAATACAACAATAAAATACAGTGTCCAATGCAGTGTTTACCTCAAAGGAATACGAAGGATGGCTTTAAAATCATAGATAGATAGATATCATTATTATAAAAGGGATAGTTCACTCAAAATTCACCCAAATATTCTGTCATCATTTACTCACCCTCAATTTTCCAAACTTGTATGAATTTCTTTCTTCTGTTGAACATAAAAGAAGATATTTTGAAGAATGTGGGTAACCAAACAGCTGTTGGTCTCCATTGACTTCCATAGTATGAAAGTCAATGGGGACCAAAAACTGTTCGGATACAAAATATTTAAAATATATTCTTTTGTTTTCAGCAAAAGAAAGAAATTCATACAGGTTTGGAACAACTTTGAGGGTGAGTAAATGATGACAGAATTTTTGTTTTTGGGTGAAATATTCCTTTAAAATAATAATTGATATAATGCAATGTAAATAATATAATTACTATTTTAATTATTAATCATTTAAATATTATTATATTATATTATTATATATTAATTTTAATTATCTAGCTTAATTAAAAATGCTTTTAAAAAACTGAAATAATATTTCCTTTTTTTTCCCTTAACTTTTTTAAATATTGCTTGATATTTATTAAAAGAGTTAGGTTATACATTCAGGAGTTCAGGTTATACATTTTCAACATAATTCCAGTGGCATTCTTTAATTATTATAAGCTGTCAATAGAGATAACTTTTATTACATCTAGAACAGTCCTTGAATGTGCAATTCCTCATGCAGCATGAGAGTGATTTGTCACCTGAGATTCCATAAGCTTGTACAACTGAATTTCTCCACTTGCAGTGGCCATACCCAACAACGGGCGCTCTGATATCGGCACGTGACACCTGAGGAATTAAAAAAAAAAAAAAAAAG